ATGCACGAGTACCGGCTGACAGAGGATTTGTCTGTAGCTGGACTGGCTGGTACAGACGTGGCACATGCTACAGCTGCAGAAAGGGATGCAGCAGGTGGCGCTGTCAACAGCAGCAGAGACGATGAGGCGACCAACCCAGACACCAGAGGTCTGGAAGCTAAGGGTGCCTCAGGTGGTGCTGCTGGTGGTGTTTTAGCCAGCAGCAGCAACAGCAGCCCCAAGGACAGCACTTCAGAACGTCAAACTGGCACTGCTCAAAAGATCAACCTGGCGTCGTGGGTGGTCGTGAGAGTGCTCAAGCGAAGCTCCCTGACGGCTGAGGAGCAAGCGACAGTGACGCAACAGGTGATGGCAGCTCAACATGCAATGGTAGCACAGCAGAGGATGGCAGAACAGCAGCAACTGGGTGGGCCTCCTCTACAAGGTGTGAAGCCGCCGCTCTTAGTGCACCCGCAAGGGAGCGGAGCAGAGCAGCAGGCAGTTGTCACAGGTGGTATGGGAGGAAGCAACGTGGCAGTGGCTCATGTGACTGCACACAGGATGGGAAGTTTGGCACCAGCAACAGGGTACCCTACGGGTGTGACACTGACCGTCAGGAGTAATTCACCCTTGACAGATTCCCAGGGGGATAACTCCCCAACTACCCTCACAGCCAGCCAATCACCCAACTCTTCCTTCTCCGCAATGCCTGTAGATGGGCGGAGCAATGACACAGCAAGCCAAGCAGCAGGTTTGGATACTGGAGCAGCAGTGGGAGCAGCAGTAGCAGCAATGGCGTCTGTAGCAATGGATGTAGCAGGAGCAGGAGCGGCAGTGGGAGCAGCAGAAAGAGCTGGTAACCCCTCTGCCCATCCAGGTCCCGCCTCCCCTCTCCTGAATCTGCCCAACCCGCACACTGGACTCTTTTCTTCTCCTTTTATCCAGCCTGGTGCTGGCAGCAGCAGGCCAACAATGCCGCAAGGGTTATTGACCCATCCACTACTGGAGCAACTGTTGTTGCTACAGCAGCAGCAGCAGCATGGCAGCAGGGCAACAGTGCAGCAAGGGCTATTGTCCCAGCAGCAACAAAGAAGCAATACAGCCATGCAGCAGGGCTCATTGCTCCAGCAGCAGCACCAACAGAACATCCCAGCAATGCAGCAAGAGTTAGAGCAAGTGCTCTATCACGACCCATCCTTCAGGCAGCTTTTGTTGCAGGCAGAGAATTCAAAGCCACCTGCCAGCAGGGACGGAGACTCTCTTATTCAGGTCGAAGCAGAGGCAGAGCCTTCTGGGCTATGGGAGGTGATGCAGCAGGGGATGCGCACTGGGGAGGATCAGATGGTAGTTCCAGAAGGAATGACAGTACCAGAAAGAATGACAATACCACCTACACCAGGTGCCACCGTGCTGACACCAGCCAATCCCCTCCTTCCGCTCCCCCCCACCCACAACCACATCCAGCTTCTCTCTCTGCCACTCACGAGAGCACCACCAAACCAACAAGCTGGTTTCATGGTTACCTCTCAGCAACAGCAAGGCCACAGTGCACCACAGCAGGGCGGTTACCAGCAGGCGATCGCAGCCCCTTTTTCCTCCTGGTCTGCTCCTCCACACCCCTTCCGTCCTGCCCCTTCTGCTTCCATGTCTGCATCCTCATCTGGTGAATCTCACCCCCGTACAATGGCTAGTGTTGCTGCTGCTGCTGGTGCTAGTACTAACCCAGTTGGTACTGCTGATTCAGCTGAGACAGGGGATACAGCAGCAGGCCAAAAGAACCAACAGGAGGAGATGCAGCAGCTGGCAAATCTTCTCCAATCCATTTTAGGAAATCCAGTAGCCAGTACCACTGCTGCCTCTACCGAACCTGCCACTACAACTCGCACCAGTGCAAATCCTGTTGCTTCTTTGACTGAGGCTGCTACGGCTCCTGCCCCTGCCTTTGCTTCAAGTTCTGGTGTGGTTCCCGTAGCCTCTGCCATTCAAAGAATGGCTGCAGCTCTCAATATGGCTTCAAGTGGGCTCTTGAACAGCACAGCAGCGCGTTCGGTTGCAGCACCCTCAAATTCTGCTGTAGCACCCCAATATTCGGTTGCAGGAGCCCAGCAGGGGAAAAGACACAAGGGGCAGCACATAGTGAATGTTGGGTACCCAGAACAGCAGCAGCAGCAGCAGCAGCATGACCAATATTCCCTGCATGAAATGCTTCAGCAGCACATGTCTCAGCAGCAGGAACTCAGTCCCGGCCCCCAGCGTCCCAGAAGCGCTTCCTGCCCAGCTGTCCCTCTGCAAGGTGCCAATCAGTATGTAACGCCCTTTCGCTCCACCCACAGCTACAACCATCCTGGGTCATTGCAAGGGGCGATGCGTGGGCAGGGTGAGCAAGGGAGGACAGAAATAGAAACCCAGAGCAACTCGCTCCTCCATACCAGTGCGTGGGGGAGAGGTGGAACGGAGATGGCTGGAAGGGGGAAGGAGGGAGAGGGGAGGGGTGGAGGGGACAGTGGGGATGGTGGCTTGGAAGCGATTATCCGCCATGTCAGCTGGTATGGAGGAGCAGGAGGCTCTGGAATGGATCACAGAGAAGCAAACTTGCCAGGAGGGGTGGGAGTTGCAACAGCAGGGGTAGCAGGAGCCGGTGCAGGGGTGGCGGAAGTTGCTGTGGGTGCTGCAGCAACAGGAGGGGTGGAGAGAGCAGGAGTGGAGACAGCAGGGATGGGAGATGCAGCAGAAGGGGTTGGAGATGCAGCATCAGGGGCAGCCGCGGCAGCTGGGAGAGCGGCGGCAGCAAGAGGAGGCGGGGATCTGATGGCTCCGGTGGATGGGTTGGGGATAGCAGACCTAGAGGCGCTTCTAATGGATGCGGAGGGAGAACTGGGCTCGTTCAGCAGCATGGTCAGTGGGCTCAGCCCGCATCCATTTAGCAGCATGGTTGGCAGCGCTCAGTCACTGCCCGAATCATTCTTCCCATCACCAGCGGTACCTCTGACAGTGGGTCAAACATGGAGAGATGGAGCAGCAGAATCAGGAGAAGCATCTACAGCAGCAGCATCTGCAGGCTCAACCGCAGCAGCAACAGCAGAAGCAGGAGAAGTAGGTGCATCTGCAGGTGCAGAAGCAACCACTACAAGCATGATTGCCAGTGTTTCAGGGGAAACACAAAAAGGGAATCGCGGCAGCCAGGGCATTGGAAGGATGCAATCTCCCAAAAGAAGCCGTGAAGAGGACTTCTGATTTTGTTTTTTAAGCAGCTGGTTCATGAGCAGATGTCTTTCCCTGAAGCTGTTTTGTGCATATGATGGTGACACCTGGCTCAGGGTCAATGGATAGCGTCGACATGAAACGGTAGGAATAATGCCCTTCCTATTCCCCGAAATCAGCTCGTTATTTTGTGAGAAGTTGGATAGAAGCCTTAGGAGTACATGCAAAAAATGTGTTGTAGATAGGAAATAAATATTTCATCCAATTCTTCAAATACAAACTTCATTCAAGCTTAGTAGTACCTACATCCTATGCAAATTAAGTCAATCCCCATTTGCTCATTCGATTGCACACGTAACCTATGGTTATTTTGTACATCAAGCGACAGCCTTAATTGCTCAACTTTTTTTTTCTCTCTCATTGTTCTAAGTGTGGTATTATTTCCAGGGCTAACTTTAGTAAAATGACCCGTCTGGCTTTAAGACCGGGTCCTGTCTCCTTGTCTGATTGTCAGACGAAAGCTGTAACATTGTCTAACTTTTCAGACGAATGCTAAGTTCTTGTCTGAGGTTTCAGATAGAGGTACATAGCTAGCAAACAATGTATTTTTAAAAGAGAAGTAATTACCATATATACATAGCCTTCAATGGTCTAGTCACTGGAATGGGGGACTTGTGAAGACTGGGACCTGGGTTCGAAGCCTATTTCCAGACTCTGCCAGGCAAGCACGATCATCCGAAAGTTTTGCCTTCAGACGGGAAAAGACTCGATATCTGCAGTCTCAGACGAACTGTATAAGGATGTCTAAGAATTCAGATAAATACAAAAACTTTGTCTTCAAAATCAGATGAGTTTAAACGACATGTCTAGGCCATCAGATGAACCATAAAAAACGTGTCTGAAATCCAGACAAACAGACAAGAAATTTCTGATAACGTAGGCCCTGATTATTTCATCAACAACCGCACAATAGCCTCAAGCTATTCAAATTCCAAACTGAAGAGAATTACATGCACAACCCACTATCATGTCAACTAGATTGAAGGACACAATTACAAGAACTACAACTACGTGTGCCAATATCAATGTTGTTTATGCCATCTAGTTTTGTATGATATATTACATCTAGTTTCTTTATCATATTCTTTAATCTTCTTTTCTTCCTTTCTCCTTTCAGTTTCTTTATCATGCACCAATGCGTATCCACGGGATGACGGTATGCAAATTCCAGCACTTGCAGGGAAATGGAAGGTACACTATCTTCACATGTCAGCTCTACTTATTTCTCATGGGCTAGAGTTGTCACCACCACTCTGTGAAGAAATGAGGAAAATGAATTGACTAAGGGAAAGTTGGGTACAAAAGCAAACCCTAGAAAACTGTACCCCATATGTGCTACCCCACTATAGCCTACAGTAGCTATGTCATATAAATCTGACACACCCCCATAGGCAAAGTGGGGGAGAACAAGGGGTCACAAGACCAGTCAAGCAAAGCAAAGCAAGCTCAGGGTGGATCACAAAGTCACCACACATTCCGAGCACAAGTTCAAGGCCACAAGGCCAGTTCACATGCAGGATTACATATATATATAAGGCTAGACAAGCAAGAGCAGGTGTATATATATATGCAACAGTACAAACAAGGTCAAGGGGTGAGCAAGTGAGGCAAGGTAGGCACAAGACCCAGCTGAGTACAGAAGCGCTGATGATCACAAGGCGCAAGTGCCTTGGTGAAGATATCAGCAGTGTTGGCCTCAGAGGCCACGTACGCAAGCCGCAGCTGACCACGCTGCTCCAGTCTCTGCTCTCGACACAAGGCCAGCATGGCCTTGTTGTCTACGTACAGCACTGGAGGAGAACGAGGCGGCTCTCCGAGGTCAGTCAGCAGGTAGGTGAGCCATCGAAGCTCCTGTGCAGCCATGGCCCCGGCGTAGATCTCAGCCTCACAACTGGAGCCGAGAACAGAAGACGAGCGGGTAGCCCGCCACGAAACAGAGCCGGAACCAAGGCTGAAGGTGTAACCCTGTGACGACCGCTGCGTAGCCTGGTCGTCAGCCCAAGAAGCGTCTGCGTGCCCAGTGAGGACCACTGGACTCTGCCCTCCAAGCACAAGCCCCATGCCCGACGTACTGCACAAGTAGCGCAACACCCTCTTCGCTGCAGCCATGTGCTCCGGTCTGTGTCTCCCAGGAGCAACATAGCGTGCAAGAATGCTAAGAGGGTATGCAAGGTCAGGTCGTGTGCAGGTCATCAGGTACATGAGGCAGCCAACAAGCTCTGGGTACGGGCCACTCGACTCTACGGACTCATCCGAAGGCAGAGCTGAGAGCGAGTGGCGAGTAGGCAGAGGAGTGGCCTGAGGCGAGGAGTACGTGAAGCCGAAGCGCTGAAGGACCTGCTGCACCATGTGTGACTGAGTCAGGGTAATGGTGCGGCGTGCTCTGTCCCGGGTGATCTGCAAGCCAAGGTAGCTGCGCAGTTCACCCAGGTCTGTGCACGTGTGTCTCTTCTGCAGCTCGGACTTCACGTGGGCGAGTCCAGCAGTGTCAGCTGTGGCGAAGACCAAGTCGTCGACGTACACGAGGATGTAGAACGGCGGCAAAGAAGTGTCGGTGCGCAGAAACAGCGACGGGTCGGCAGTAGAGGGAGCAAACCCAAGAGCCGCAAGTGTAGTCCTCAGTGTGTCGTGCCACTCACGCGGTGCCTGGCGGAGACCGTAGACTGGCCGCCGGAGGCTCCACTGGGTGCCAGGAGGAAAAGACCCAGTGAAGCCAGGTGGGCGACGCAGCCAGATCTCCTCGTGCAGGCTGCCCTGCAAGAAAGCAGTGCTGAAGTCAAGAGAGTGCAGCTCGTAGTCGCGGTGAGCAGCTATGTGCAGCAGTACCCGAAGAGTGGTCATCTTCGGGGTGGGAGAGAAGGTCTGAAAGTAGTCAACTCCCTGCCGCTGACTGAAGCCACGAGCCACGTAACGCGCCTTGAAGACAGGCGGAGAACCCGGCGGCCGCTTCACCCTGAAAATCCACATGCCACTGACGATGTTCGCCCCAGGCGGGGGAACCTCGTCAACGTAGGTGCCTGTGGACTTCCAGGAAGCCATCTCTGCGTCCATAGCTGCCTGCCACTTAGAGGAGTAGGGACCCTCTATCGCCTCCGCGTAAGAGCGCGGAGTCGGGATGTCAAGTGCATCCGGGTCTCCCTCAGGGGTAAGCAGTACGGACACGAGATGAGGTGAAGCAGCAGCCAAACACTGGAACTCCTCCTGCCTGTCCTCAAGGACGTCCGTGCCAAGGGCACACTCACCCCCGACGGACGGAGGACAGACAGACTCAGACTCAGCAACAAGACTAGCAGCGTAGTCTAGACGACAGCGAGCAGCAAAGTCGACGAGCTCAGTAACTAGGGCAGACGCAGCAGTGGACTCAAAGGAAGGGTCAGTGACAACAGTAGCAAGGAGACGCGTGACAGTAGGACTGGCAGCACGAAGAGAGTCCGACTCCGGGTCAGGAAGAGCAGGAAGAGAGGACTCAGGAGGAGAAGGCAAAGGGGCACGCAGAGGAGCAGTGGACGGACGCAGAGACATCCGGTGCGTGCCAGGGACAGGAGGAGGACGCTGACGCGAACCACGACCACTAGTGCGAGCAGCACGGACAGGCGACGCAGGGCGAGACGCAGGCTCACGACGCTCAGCAAGACCTCCAGTAGGACCAGTGTAGGGAGAAGGAGCGGGCAGTGGGGAGGCCGGCTGTAACTGTAACTGTGACGGGACAGGCTGTGGACACTCTAAGGGAGGAGGAGGACCAGTAGAAGGCGGGAGACCAAGAACCTGCTGAAGGAGCGGAACGAAGTACGGCCTAGGCCGCGCGGCGACTCCAGACACAGCAGGGACAGCACCAGTACCCCCAGCGGCAGCACCAGCGCCAGCAGCACCTCCAGCTCCAGTACCTCCAGCAGCACCAGTAGCACCCCCAGCAGGACCGCCTCCAGGACCGACAGCAGTAGCCTCAGCGCCAACACCCTCAGCAGCTCCAGCTCCAGTCGTACCCGCAAGCCCAGCAGCTCCAGTACTCCCAGTACGAGCACCTCCGGGACCCGCGGCACCAGCACCCTCAGCAGCCGAAGAACCTCCAGCTCCAGCAGCACGCCTCCAGCGCCGGGCAAACCACTCGCGCAGCTCCTGTGGAGAGAGTGGCTCCCGCCGAGACGAAGCACCCGGAGAACCTCCAGGCTCAGCACCGCCAGACGCCACACGAGCAGGCCCAGCTCCCTCAGGCTCCGCACCCCCAAGCTCAGCACCTCCAGGCGTGGCACCCCCAGGCTCAGCACCCCCAGGCGTAGCACCCCCAGGCTCAGCACCCCCAGGCTCAGCATCCCCAGTAGTAGCACCCCCAGGCTCAGCACCCCCAGGCTCAGGACCCCCAGTAGTAGCACCCTCAGGCTCAGCACCCCCAGGCGTAGCACCCACACGCTCAGCACCCCCAGAGTCAGCACCCCCAGGCTCAGCACCCTCAGCAGCACCAGAGTCACCAGTAACCTCGACAGGCTCGACTGCGTCTACCTGGGACACACCTGAAGGGGCAGGACCCTGAGGGGGGAGGGGGTCTACCGGGGGGGGACCTGGTACAAGGAAGAGCGGTGGCGGGGGGAGGGACGGAGTGCGGTAGGGGAAGAGGCGGTAGTAGGGGACCGACTCGTCAAACGTGACGTCCTGGGAGGACAGAACACGGCGAGAGGTGGGGTGGTAGAACTGCCACCCTGGCGCGTCAGGGGGGAAGCCAAGGAAGACGCAAGGAGCAGCACGAGGGGACAGCTTGTCCGCAGACAAGTCGCGGACAAACGCCCGAGATCCCCAGACACGGAACGCAGACGCATCGCCAACCTTCCCCGTCCACAGCAAGGCTGGGGAGGTCTCCGGCATGGAGACCCTGGGGTGAAGGTTGATCTGATGCGCCGCGTACCGAACCGCAAACGGCCACAGAAAATGGGGGGCAGCCGCATGCATCATGGACGTACGGGCGACGTCCATGACCATGCCAATGCGGCGCTCAGCAATCCCATTTTGCTGTGGAGAGTCCGGAAGCGTGAAGGTCTGGCGGATGCCTCGTGCACGACAGTAGGCTCGCAGAAGGCCAGAGGAGAACTCTCCACCTCTGTCAGAGTGCAGACGCAGAACAGGAGAGTCCGAGCCGAAGCTCTGCCTGAGCTGGAGACGAGCTGCGCGGATCCAGTCGATCAACACCTCAGTGACGTCACCCTTGCTGCGCAAGGGGAGGACTGTGGTGTAACGCGAGTAGTCGTCAACCACCAGCAGGAAGTAGCGCTCGTGACCCTGTCCACGGACGCGGGCCGGGCCCCACACGTCCATGTGAAGCGTCTGCAGCGGGGCCTCTGTCGGAGGAAACTGGGAGGAGTGAGGGGCAGCCCGCTGCCGCCCCTCGACACAGGGGACGCAGG